TATCACGTACCTCCAGACAATCACCCAAAAACGTAATCACACACATACCATTGTCACACAGCACGCACATCAACACAATTGCAAGCACGCACAATTCTCATGTCATACACTCGTTCCGTTCTCATCATATCTCATCCACATTCCTCGCCAGTGACCCGCGTACACGTACACACCTAAGGTACACTACGACCTCTTTCCATAACACTTCCAGGCCCGCGTAAACGTACACGCCTCAGGCCATGTTTCTTGCCCGCGTAAACGTACACGCCTCAGGCTCAATATCTACCACCCACTGCGCAACCCGCGTTGAAGTACACGCCTCAGGCTGGCAGTTTTCCGGTAAAACCGGACATCGTCCCGCGTAAACGTACACGCCTCAGGACGGCACAAATTCCACGATCACACATACCATCTCATTTTCACTTTCTTACTTATGCACATGCTCAACAAGCATTTGCCATACACAATTGGCCCTTCACACGCGGCCCGTGCACGCATTAATTACATGAAATCCATGCACACTCAACATTCGACATGGCCAGTAATAATAATTAAAATAGTCTGGCCCACGGGTGCACCCAACAAACATAATTAACTCAATCAATTGAACAATCACACATTTAATTTCACCACCACAATCTAATTATTTTCAAACGCACGTAAAACACAGAAATCATTATTTTTCTCCCCCCAAACGACGTCAAATCGATTCCGGTCCTTCACGGGACTTTTTCACCATAAATTCCCGGTTCTAAAAATCCAACTTGCGTCCCGATCGGCCCATCACGGCCCCATGAACAGTAGACCACAGCCACTGTTATCCTCGAATTTCCAATAAATATTGCCCGAATTAAATCCTAAGGCCCGCCACAAAATTTCCACTCCCAATTCATGCAATTCCGCACCTAACTTTAACCAGATTTCGCCCAAAAATCGCCCGTCGATACCCGAAATCCTAAGTTGGGTTTAGAGCGAGACTTACCCGCGTTCTAGGCTATCGCGGCTAGAACGGAAAGCGGCGGCACTTAATCGGGAACGGCGGCGACCACGTACGGCTCTCGGGTGGCGGCGATCTGCTTGGGCGGCGATGGCGCGGCTTGGGTGGTGGCCGGTGGAGCTCACGGCCAAAGGGGGACCGAAAGGGAGAGAGAAAAAACGGCGGCTTGGGGGGGGGGGGGGCGTGAAGCTCGGCAGTGGCGCGGCGGCGATCCGGCGGGCGTGACCGGCGGTGGTGATGGCGCGGCGGTGACGGCAAAGGGAGAGAGAGAGAGATCGGTGGAGGGGGAGGGGCTCATGGCAAGGGGGGGAATTTCACGGGGAGAGGGGAGAAAAGAAGAGAGAGAGGAGAGAGAGAAAGGGGGTCAAGGGCTAATTGTCCAATTTTGACCTTTTTTGGGTAATTTACCAAAATACCCCTCTCTAATCTTTTTAATCCGACGGCCGAGATTCGATCCAATCTAAAAATCAACGGTTAGGATTGAATCTTACTTAAAAATATCCAAGGGTAATTATGCATTTTCCAACTTTGGGCCCAAAATGACCAAAATGCCCTTGTCCAACAAAACTAATCCTTTATTAACTCTTAGGGGCATTTTGGTCACTTTCTCTGTTTCTCGTCAAAATCAAGTTTTTCTGAAGGTTCGGGCACAACAAAAATTGCACGTTACAACCGCAACGTCGTCCTAACGTCCCGTTGTGACTTCCAAATTTTCCGGTGTCCGATTTGGGCTGAATTAAATAATTAAATTCTATTAAACCTAACTCGAGCGTTTCTCAAACTAACGGGCGGCTTGTTGGGGAAATTCACTTATTCGACCCGTGACTGACACTAAATCGAGTCACGTGCAATTTATTCAAACCGTCACGACTTCGGTTGTCAATAAAATCGCGAGGATCAATTACTAGATCCGTGGGGCACGATCATTCGATATAGGTTCAAGATCGTTCGTCAATTCATTTCGTGGTCCAGCGGTATCACCCGCGATCCACTACTGTGACAGTGGCGAATTGACCCCTGATTATCCTTAGATCGGCCAACAGTGGCTCAAAATATCACCTCGAGGATTTAATGGTCGAAAGTCAATCCACGATCGAATTTTCTTTAGTCGTACGAATTTAACTCCCCGATTAGCCTTTCCCTAATGGTTAGCATCCCATGAATGATTAGTTCCGGGCAAGAACTAACTACGAGTACATTCATAAAACTCAGTATTTTACAAATCCCAAATGGACTATTTTTCAGGATGTCACAATCTCCGTAAATCTCTATATGGGTTGAAACATGCCAAATTCGCTACAGTAGTAACAAGTGCAGGTTTTCAGCATTCCAAACATGATTATGCTCTATTCACATGGACTATAGGTACTTCATCAATTTATTTGCTGATTTATGTTGATTACATACTTATCATGGGAAATAATGACTCTCATGTTGCAAAATTCAAAGAGTATCTGCACTCTACTTTTTACATCAAAGATCTTGGACCTCCCAAATATTTTCTTAGCATTGAAATCGCTCAATCCGACAGAGGCATCAATCTTAGTCAATGAAAATTCATCTTGGAGATTGTTTCCAAAGCAGGATTGTCAGGATGTAAATCAGCTGTCATACCAATTGAGTAGAACACTAAACGGACAACACATGAGTATAATATGGGTTCATCTGCTTCTATCGAGGATCCATTACTTAAGGATCCATCAGGATATCAGGGACTTGTTGGGAAACTAATATATCTCACCATGACAAGACCTGACATATGTTATGCAGTGCAAATACTCAACCAATTCATGCATAGTCCGAAACAATCCCATATGAATGTAGCACTAAAGGTAGTTAAATAATTAAAGGGATGCCCAAGACTTGGTATATTTTTGTCTTGTGACTACAACATGAATATGACAACTTACTGTGGTACAAACTATGCTACTTGCCCGATGACCAATAGATCCATCATTGGTTTTTGCATCAAATCGGGAAAGTTTTTAATTTTGTGGAAACCAAAGAAACAATCAATTGTATCGTTGTCATTAGTTGAATTGGAGTATCGAGCCATGGCAAAAATTGTTTGCGAAATAGTTTGGATACGAGGTCTACTCTCGGACCTTGGTGTACAGGTCAATGGACCAAGTGAACTATTTTGTGACAATGATGCCGCACTCAAACTAGCGGCAAATCGAGTCTTTCATGAAAGAACAAAACACATAGAAGTTGATTGTCATTTTACTTGAGATAAGATTCAAGAAGGGATCCTTGTAACGAAAGAAATTGGAACTATGGAACAACTTGTAGACATCTTCACTAAGCCACTATGTCAAAGACAACATGCATATCTATGAAGCAAGCTAAGTGTCCTCGACATATATAGGCCACGAGCTCGAGGGGGAGTATTGGAGATATGATTTGATATTATTGGAGATTCCAATTATGGATACTGATCTTATTTGGATACTAATTGATTTAGTCAATCAGTGATTGATTTGATAAATAGGAAGTTGCAATCCCTTGGATATTGTTTCCTATTTTTCTTCTCGTTTGTACACTATAAATAGACCATGTACATGTATACAAAAGATCAATACAATACAATCAGAAATTCTCTAATTCTTTCAATTTCTGTCATCTTAATTTACCAACATGCTCATGGGTTGAAATGCAATAATGGTGATCCATTAAGAAAGTGTGTATCTCTTATTCTTTCAGTTTTTAATGTAGGGTTGGTAAAAGCCAATCAGAGGCCTAAGCTAACGTCATTGCCTATTATGTTACTCATAAAATCGGACGGCTAGTATTTTAAACCACACATGTTCTTGATGTGTTAGTTCAACATGGAGAATGCTGCTTCAGATTTCTTTTAGCAGGTACAAGGAACAATCTTATGTCCGTTCCCCCTTCACGAAGTGCCTTGAGTTGAAGTTGAAACAGGGCTTAGCTGGACATATAAAAATGTCTTGACTTGAGCAAAAGACCCGTAATATTATTCCCGCGAATGGGTGCTATTTTTTTATTTTATTTTATCTGATTCAAGTGACCCACTGATAGAAATTAGCGTGTTCACAAACACATTCTCTTTCATGGCAATTGTTAGAACCTATAGTAGCGAAAGTTAGATCCATCTAAAATCTGTACGAAGGAAACTGAATAGAATGCTCAATTATGAGTGGCGGTTCTCAATTCCCGGTTAATGTTTAGGTCAATTGTTTTTCGCATAGAGATGCTTATCTGTCATGCAAAAATACTCTTTCGCGGCTATCCTAATGTTACGGGCTTGTTGTTCTAGCGTTCCCTACTCGTGCGGTCTTAGAAATTACGATCCTGAGTTAACCTTTTCTCACATTGACACAAGAAGTCTAGAGAAGGCAAACATCATTCAAAGAAGGATTCCACTTCTTCAATTTATCTCGAATGGGCAGCTTATTCAAAAAACTGGGTTTTACTATGTTTGAAGTGAACCGGTCCAGCTTATGCCAGGGCACTTTAGCAGGTGAAGATCAAAGTTTACCCCACTTATCAATAGTAAATTTTCCAGCAGGAGAAGGCATTCAAACAATACCATGATACCGCTAAACATTTGGCTGCATTCCACATAATGCAGATTGAATAAGAAGTAGGTCCTCAGACTTAGCAGGAGGCCAATTACATCACATACTTTTGCAGTGCCGAAGACTACTCAGATAATATCTATTACGAATGTATTACGTAATTTACAACTTCACAAAAAAATGAATATATGGCATGTTCTTCTCATTAGATGTGGCAGATAGCTATAAGAGCTATAACATCATTTTAAGTGCAGTGATATATTTTCTAAACAGAACATGTTCGTCTGAAGCAGAGGATTCAGAAGTGTACAACAAAGTATGACAATGGTCTGACCATGAGCATTCATGCCCTATTTCTTCCAAGAAATGAGGTGAAAATCACTCAAGTCACTAGCAATTTATTCAACTTTGGATAAACAAACAGGAACAGATCAACGTAAGCACAAAATCTCATATCCAAATGAGAGAGCAGGAATGTCACCAGTCTGATATTCATGTTACATAATCAGCAAGGAAGAGAAAACGAATTTGGAATAGAAAGGAAGGATCATTCTGAAATCATCATAACTACAAGTAAAAATGTTCATCATGATTATCCTGTGCAAATCAAGGGAAAAAGGACAAGAAGAATGAGCAAAGGAGCAAAGGAGCTCATTGCAGACTTGTTCTCACCTCTCTCCACCCAAAGAAAACGAACTCCCAATACCAACTTCGTAGTATAAGTAGCATGCCTTAGTCAACGATTTTAAGAACTAAATCTTAAGTAGAAAATTAGCTAAGGGGTTGCAGACCGACCATAGAATCCTATGGCAGCATTCGAGAACCACGGAATCAACTACGACAAGAAAGATTAGCCGTAGAATGACATATCTTGTAGGAGAGAGAGCATGAATACTACATGGATGCAGATAGGCTAATTAGAGCTATGAAACTGGAGGAATCAGATCTACAGAAGATGAGAGAAATTATGGTCATGCACCTTTGCGAATCCGAGTAGAGATTGGCGTAGGAGCTTCGACTCTCTCGACGTCACGAGGTTTGTGAAGCTGCAGACTACCCGACAGTCGTTCCTTTGCCGCTATGAAGAGTGGACAAGAGAGCTAAGGAGAAGGAGAAGGAGATGATAAGGTTTTCGTAAATTGTCAATACATGTGCGAATGCGCCAACCAAAGTCGATGCTCTGTTTGGTTCTGTTTTCCTATTTCACATAAGACACATTTTTTTTTTGTCGAATACAACTACCATTTCATTCATTCAAAGACAAATTACACGAGTGAAGCTGACTAGCATCATTACACATTAAAATCCAGAGAGGTTGGGGGGGGGGGGGGTTTGTACAACCATTTAGAGGGAAGTATCCCTTTGCGATAGGACTTGGAGATCCAGTCCGCAACAAAATTGGTTTCTCATGGACAGTGGGCCAGAAAAATACTTTGTGATTGGGTAAGTAGATGATTGCAATCTTCAAATAGCTTTCTCAAGGCCCATGGGCTGAGGGACGGTTGCTCTATATACTTCATGGTCGCCACATTGTCTGTCAAGATAGTCACTTTCACTACGGGTTTTCTTCCTTTCTGTGCTTCTTCACGCATATAGCGTAAAGCTTCCATCACCGCTTTACCTTCAACTTCCAGAGGAGAATTGGCCGTAGCCCCTTTTGCGAACCTAGAAATTATCAAGCCCCTGTGATCTCTGCAAACGCCTCCAACCAATCCCTCAATTCCGCCTTCGTTCCACGAGCCATCCACATTGAATTTCCACTGCCCTGTTTCTGGTGAAGTCCAGTGTTCTGTTGATGTCTTCTTCGACCAGGTTTTGCGATCGGGGGAGTTCTACGTGCTGTAGAGTCTACACAGATTGATGGCATCGTCAACAATAGCTCCCGATTTGGGGTTAATTCGGTGGAACACTTGGGTGTTTCTGGCTTTCTAGATTTGCCATAAAATGCCAACGATCAGTTCTCGATGGGGTAGATTGCCGCCTGTGAGTTCTTCCTCTAACCACTTGTCCATTCTTGTTATGTTTGTTGGTGAAGCATCTACCTGTATTCTCTGATCGGTCCAAATTTGCTTTGTCCAGTCGCAAAGGAAGAAGATGTGCTCCGTGGACTCTGGAATTTGCCGGCAGATTGGACAAATCGGGTCAGTAATTGCCCTTCTTTTGTATAAATTCTCAGTAGTGGGTAGAGCATTTTGGCACACACTCCACAGGAAGAATTGAATTTTTGGTTCGGTATGAATCTTCCATATCTTGGACCACAGAGAACGGGGCTGCTGATACGATGTTGATGCTTGTTCTGTATGTTGCTTAGTATGGGATTCTCGAAGTCTTGAGTAACCCTACTTGACCGTGTAGTCCCCTAATATACTGCCATTCCATATTTGCTTATCGCCTTCCGGATTAGGTAGGATATGTGTGTCAAGAATTTCTCTTACGACCTCTTCCTAGAACAGCCTTTGTAGCTGGTTTTCGTTCCAAGTTCTTGTGCTTTGATCGATCAACTCTATGACTGTTTGAGGGTCTTCTCGATTTGCTAGCCCTCCTATAAGATTCTGACTGAGCCACTTGTCCTCTCTGATGTTGATACTCTCGCCATTCCCCACCACCCATTTAACCTCGGAGCTTAATGTATCCCTTCCCATTAACAAGCTTTGCCACCCCACGACGGTCGGGAGCCCTTTTTTGCTTTCCATAAACAAACGTTTGGGAAGTAGATACCTTTTAGAAGCTGGCTCCATAGTGCATTCGGTTCTTGAGCAAGTCTCCAAGCTTGCTTGCCTAGCATGGATTTGTTGAAGGTTACTAAGTCCTTGAAGCCCAAACCATCGTCTATTTTCCTTTCTTTGAGGGTGTCCCACTTCTTCCAGTGAATACCAGATTTGGATGAGTGCTGTTTCCACCAAAATGAAGCAATTTTCTGCTCTATAGATTTACAAACCGAAATTGGGATTTTGAAAATAGACATTGCATATTGTGGGATTGCTTGTACCACTGTTTTGAGTAAGATTTCTTTACCCGCCTTTGATAGCAACTTTTCCTTCCATCCTTCCAGCTTCATATTTACCCTGGCCAAAATTCACGTAAACATTTTTTTTTGTCTGTCCCCAATCTGATGGAATGCCAAGGTATTTCCCTATTTTCTCCATTATTGGTACTCTCAGTTCAGCTGCTAGATTGTTTTTAAGGCTGAGAGGGCTACCTGCACTGCAGAATAGACCTGATTTGTTCAGGTTGATCGCTTGACCCGATGCAAAACAATATTGGTTTAAGATATTTGCTAGGTTCTGACACTCACCAATAGTCCCGTCTAGGAAGAATATAGCATTGTCGGCAAATAGTAGGTGTTTGTCACACATAAGACACATGAAACACGGGATTCATGAGACTTTTATTAGTTGCCCTGTCGCTGCTTTTTCGTGGTCAAAGATAGGTACACGAACTACACTACACCACATTGCACAATTCACAAATTCTCTTTTTCTTTCTTTTTTCTCCTTATTCGTTGGAGTGTCTCTTACTAGAACACCATCGCAATGCCCCAAAGGAGATAAAAGGATTTGGTTCTCTTCTTGAATTTCATGCGATTCATTAAATAAAAAAACACAAATCCATTTTATTGAGGGATTTTTAAGTGCTTTTGAAACACTCTATGAGCAAAAATTGGATGCGCTCAGATCATGTGAGCCAAGCTCACTTCTACCAAGATCACGTGGGGCCCACCATATCTAGTATTGCGGGGGAAGAACAGCAGAAGTGCCAAAAGTTGTGTACGGAGCTCACTTTGGTGCCAAAAGTTCCATTTGGATCACTTAATTGCCAAATCGGAGGAAAAATGATCACTTTGGTGCCAACGGCGAGAGATTCCGGCCAAATTAATACGTGGCATTTATATTAAAGAAAAATAAGTTGACGTGGCAAATATTTTAAATCGCAGTCCACGTGGAATGGCATAAACGACGTTGTTTTCCATCCTCCACAAGAAACGATGTCGCTTCATTTTCCTACGTGGACTGCGTTTAAAAAACGACGTCACTGAAGAACGGGGACTAAAATTAGGGCTCGGATCTTGAGTTCTCACGTCACTCCCTCGCTCGCCGTAGCTCCCTCGATCGCCTTCCGTCGCTCGCCCACCGTCGCTCACTCGCCGTCGCTCGGCCGTTGTCGTAGCTGCACCATTGTTTGCTAGCCCACCGTCACTCAGCCTCTTCACTCAGGTTTGTCATGTTCTCACCGTGGGTCAGTTGAGTGGAGAATTTAGGGTTTCGACAGGCAAATTGGGGCACGGAGGGCAAAATGAGGGCTCAGCTTGGACTACTTTTATGAGGAGGGAAAAATGGTGGGGACCTCACTTTTGTTTAATCACTTTTGTAGGGAGGGCAAAATTGTGGGGACCGAATGTGACTGAATTGAAAAATAGGGCGTGGAGGGGAAAATGAGGGCTCAGCGCAGAGGGAAACCGGTTGAAGTGCTGGGGACAATGGTGGGGACCTGACTTTATTTAGTTAGTTAGTGTTTCTGTGGGGACCGAATGGGGTCGAATTGAACAATGGGTGTTGGGGACCTCATGTTGTTTAATCAATTGAATAAATCGGCTTCCTTTGTTTCTTTCGATAATTGTGTAATCAATTAAATGTAAAGTTGTTGATGATTCTGCTATGTGGTCTCAATGAATGACTTTTTATTTTTATTCTTTGGGTGCAGCATCGAAATGGAGGAGAATCATGTAGGCATCATTGTTTGCTATGATGGAGAGTTTGTTATTGGCCCTGACGACTGGGAATATTGTGGTGGGAACGAAGGTACTATTTACGTCAATGTTGGAAAGCCATCATATATTGATTTTGTGAAGGACTTGGTGTATTTTTGTCGATGCAAAGTGCAAAAATTGCACTAATGTGTTCCTGGGAAGGAATTGAAGGATGGTTTGAGATTTTTTAGTGACAATAATGGTATTAAGGATATCATTTACCATTATCTTCATGACGATGAAGCTAAGGTCTACGTTGAATATTATAGTGATGATGAGGCTGATGAGGATGATGGAAATGATGATCATATCCAAGCGAGTAATTAGGTTGGGGATGAGTCTACGTTAGATGGAGGGCAACAAGAGAGCCAAGTGAGGGAGGAGAGGGAGACAGATTTTGATAGAAATGTGGGTGAAGTCTCAGTTGAAGATGTGGCTGATGAAGACTTAGTTGGATTAGAATGGGAAGTTGCTCAATATAGTGTGCACAAGTTGCACAAGGACAGGGAGCCCCATAGGTTGCTCCCCCACAAGTTGCACAAATTGCTTCCCCACAAGTTGCTCAAAGTGATGCACCACAACGAACAAGAGGGGTTCTTGGAAAAAGAATAATGCAATATGGTTATGGGATTTACACAGATGAACATACTGGAATGACTATTTTCAATGTAAGATTTGTAGGACTCATGTATTTAATTTATGGTATTTCAATTCATTTGGTTAATAATATAATTATGTTCTTGTAGCTTGGAAGAAGTTCGGAGGTGCTTATCTCTCAAGGTGGGCCAACTCAAGAGTCAAGGGCACAGCCAAAGAAGAGCACAAAGAAGAAGAAGAAAACAGCGAGTACAGCTTCAAAACAGCCACCAACAAATAACGTTGCACCAGTTCCATCTCAACCAACGAAACCAGTACTAGTTCCATCTCAACCGACTGATCATGGGACCAATGTTCCTACGGAGAGGTCCCTACACATGACACGTGCTACAAAAAAAAATGTTGATGCTAAGAAGAATGTGACAGAAATGCCAGTTAATGAACTTACGTGTCCAGTTCGAAAGAGTGCCCGAATTATGAATCAATTCAAAAGTGCAAAAGGAAAAGGAGCTGGGGGTGTTGTGCATATTGACTAATGGGAGGGTGTTGGACATGGTATCTTCACTGATGGGGATTGCTGCCATTGTTTTTATGTGTTCGCTTTGACATATTAGGTGGGAGGGGATCGTTAACTGATTGGGGGACTGATGTTTTTTATGGACATGTTTATTTTTGTAAAGAACGAATCAATGTCAATGGCAACAATGTTTTTATTATTTTCTTGTCTTGCACCTTGTTATGAGGCTGATGTTGTTTTTGGAAGTGGTTGGTTGATTATTGTTGCTGGTTGAAGTTGTGGGTGCTGGATGTACGTGCTGGTTGAAGTTGTGGGTGCTGCATCTTCCTCCACTAGTAAATACAAGTACTGGTGTAAGAACAAGATGCACTAGCACAGCACTAGTGCAATTGTGGCTGTTGGTGCATCATGTTGCACCAACACAGCTCTCGGTGCAACTCTGGGTGCTGGTGCGTCTTCTTGCACCAACACTTGTATGAGCTGGTGCAAGAACAAGATGCACCAGCAACTCAACTGGTGCAACAACATGCACCACGACTGGTGCAAGCCAATGGAAACATAGTTGAAACTGACTTGTTCTTATTTTTAAACTCGTGCAACACGAGTGAGCACTTTTTCATCTCGATTGACACTAAAATGATCACTTTCAGAAAAACTTGGCACCGAAACGATCACTATTTACAACTTATGGCACTGAAATAGTCACTCGTGATTTGTTACCACCCCTTAATTTCTTCATGGTTTGCAGTAATGGTTGCAGCAAACCATTACATCTGATGCAAAAACCAAGCAAACCAATATATACAATACAGAACCAAGCAAAAATAAATTGAAGTGCTCACAACCAATGAATTCCAACTCCAACCTTCCATTTCCACCATAGATTGGAACAAAACCTTTTGTTCCATACAATTTGCAGCAAACCAGTAACACACTTTACTTACAAATGACCCAATACAAGTAAATATTCAACATCTTCGATTATGGTAGACATACAAACTTCTTCTCATTGCTCACTTCAAATTTGAATATACTACACAAGAGAACAACAACACAATCAATGCTCGATAAAAGTTTCTTTCAATTTTCAGCCTTGAAACTTCCCTCTTCAAATGGTCAACTAAAGATGTTAAACCCTTCATTTGAGCTTGCATTGAGTCGACATCATCTAACTCGTCCATTAATGTAGATGGAGGTTGATGTCGTCCTTCAAGTAGCTGCAAGATCACTTCTGTGGCTCGACCGAAGAATTTGGCATCAACCCATTTGAAATATTTACACTTTGAGCCTTCTCTATACCTGCCGCATCCATGGAATCTTCTCCCGGGATTTAACTGAGTCCAAGATGTTCTTCTCGGACTCGGTAACCCACAAAACCAGTAACACTCACCATCTAATTCACTTTTTTTAATCGAATGTGAGCCGCTGCTGAAGCTTCCGCCCTCCATCTGCAAGCGCGAGCTGATAATTGGGGATTTAAGGTTATGATTTTTACGGGTTAGGTATCCCGAATGTGAGCCGCTGTTGAGCTTCCACCCTCCATCTTTTAATTTGGGGATTAGGGTTCTTATTTTGGAGAGAAGAAGCTAAATAAAACGGCGCCGTGTAGGTATCGTGAATAAAACGGTGTCATTTTATTGTTTGCACGCTGACTGTACTCTCCAGCGAGCCACGTCGGCTTCAAATACTAATAAAAAATCGCCACGTCAGATTTTCAACTAATCATATCGGAGTTGGCACTTAAAAGATCGTTTTTCAAATTTTTTGGCACTTAAGTGATCCAAATGGAACTTTTGGTACCAAAGTGAGCTCCGTACACAACTTTTGGCACTTCTGCTATTCTTGCCCCCTAGTATTGCATGTGAATTGAGCTCACATATACCGTATTGGCTAAAATTTTTGTTGTTTCTATTTGCTCAAGTCAATTGTTGTGTATAAAATTATTGCCATTCTAGGAAGAGAATAAAAAAACATTCGGACCATTTACCATAAGGTGATTCATTTGGGTGAACTGAGATTCATATCCGGAGAATGCCGAGTTGTTGATACTTTAGGGAAAATTTTATTATATTTTTGCAACATAGTGTTACTATGATCATGTGTGTACATATATATTGTTACAGATTTTTGTCATGTTCCCATTTGATTTTAAATATCTGATCAAAGTTGATATGTGAAATCATCACATTTGTGGATATATGGACTCACTCCTTTTTCAAGTTTGATAGGTAATTTCTATAATTTTAGGCGTCTTATTGAATTGATCTTTTCTTAGGCTCCGTTCGTTTGGCGGAAAATATTCTCCCGGAAAATATTTTCCGGGTTTTCCGGTGTTCGGGGGGCGGAAAACGTTTTCCGTGGGAAAATATTTTCCTTCCCCCTTCACAAAATAGCCTAAGTCTATGGAAAATGATTTCCGCTTCTTCAAAAGTGGAAATCATTTTCCGGAGCTTCTTCTTCTTCTTCTTCACTAAGGTCGGCGGCCGCCGTCGCCGCTGCCGCCGCCGCCGCCGCGATCGCCGGCCGCCGCCGCGTCGCCGGCCGCCGCGCCGCGCCGCCGCCGGCCGCCGGCCGCCGGCCGCCGTGCGGCCGCCGGTCGCCCCGCCGCCGCCGCCGCCGGTCGCCGGCCGCCGGTCGCCGCCGCGCCGCCGGCCGCGCCGCCGGCCGCCGCCGCCGCGCCGCCGGCCGCCGCCGTTCGCCGGCGAAAAATATTTTCCGAAACTTTTTCATATTGGTTGCCGAACACCGGAAAATTATCTTCCGGGAAAATATTTTCCAGGAAAATGACTTCCGGGAAAATATTTTCCAAAAGAAGAATGTTTTCCGCCAAACGAACGGAGATAAATTCATCATATTTTGGAGAAATGAACTAGGAAACGGTTTCTCCTCTGTGCCTGTATTATTGATATGGATTTGCGTCCATCTCGTTACAAATAAATCATCTGATTAAATTATGTAAATAAAACTATGTAAATTAACATAGCTAAGTACCCAAAACTCATGTGATTTAAGTGTACGTGCTTCTCAATGAATTGAAAATGATTAGCGAAGAGAACTCAACTAGATTCTTTTTGCCAGATAAGACAAATAAGAGTTTAGTTTGAAAAAGAAACACGAATCACAAAGTAAAAGCAAAGATTCTCTGCCAAACCATTGAACTCGGAATTAAGCATGCGAATGATATCTGAGCTCTCGTTGTTGACGATTGTCTTCAGCTTCTTATCCCATAGAACCCATCATAATGCGCAAATCATGTGTCGTGTAATTTCAAATCACTGACATATAGTGACCACTACGCTTTCATTCTGCTAATCTACCCCAAAATTGTTGTAGGTTTCAAATCACTGACTTGTTCAATAATGAAAGAGTGGCGGACGAGCTGGAGGTGAACTTGATGATCGTTTGGACGGTGGCGTAAGCAAGGGCCAGGCCGAGGACGGCGCCGTCTAATAGGAGAGGAGGGAGAAGTTGGAGAGGAGAGAGACTATGGTGTGCTCGTGCGAGGACATGGTGCGGTTTTGGGGATTTCGGTGGTGCTAGTGGCGGTCACATGTGAGCGGAGCGCGGTGGTAGCGAGTGCCATCGGAGTTGAGGCGGTGGCGCGTGGGGGCGGAGGGAGTGGCTCTCGGCGGTGCGGAAAAGAGACGTGCTGCGAGACAATAAAAACATCCGACTCTCCACGATGATGCTTCATAATGGGAGACTGAAACTGATAATTGGGATGATGGGCCGATCCTGGGCCCGATATCTGATTGGGCCAAGCCCAATTTCGGACAATCATATCTTAGTGACCCGTCTTCACATTAGAAGAGCTATTTGACATTCAGGTTATGTCCTGTGTGGTCAAAGCCGAAGCAAAAAGGGCCCTTTTTTTTTAAATTTTATCAAAATCATTTGTAATTTAGGAAATTGATGACAAGATGCAAGGTGACTTTGAAGGCTATTATTCATCTCAATTAGATTAAAGTCTGATCTGAAGCCACAAAAGTCAAAAGAGAAAGTCAGGAACTGAAAGTAAGAGATAGATGCAACTTAAAAGCACCTTGAGCTTGGGCGAGCCTACTGCCATGATCTGTCTCATTGCAAACTTCTCAATGTATTGATAGAAATTGAGCTCTGCTCAGTTAAGTTATTGTTAAAAATACTATATATCAATGGAATTAATAATGACATTACACGTATGATAGCTAATTAAGCTATTGGTGGTTCATATTTTTCTTGTAAACCCAATGTAAAGAGTTTCTCCCTAATGTGGCGCAGGCAATCTGCAACTTTGCTAATGCTCATCCGTCTTTCTGGCACTTGGTTCGAACAAGCAACTCCAATCTTATACACCATAACTAAACATTCTTGAAATATGGCATCGCTTTTGGAAAACCAATGCGGAAGACTTATCTTATGAACGCCTATATAGTTCTCTCTTTCTTGAAGCAAAACGTTATCCGTAATTTCTAGCACTCGTTCAGGCAAAGCTTCTGTGACAAAATTATGAAGAATCAAACTGCCTCCCAATGTGTGACTAGTGGGACTCAATCCTGTGAATATCTCCAATAAGAGAATGCCATAACTATAGACATCGCCTTCTCTTGAAGCGTTGTATCCCATTGCATACTCTGCCACCCATTTAGATCATAGTGCAAATCAAATTAAAGTGTGGATTGTCAAATCAAAATGTAATGTGCATAAGACACTATAAGAGTTATCATTAGCTACCAAACTTCACACAGAAAGACCCATCAATAATTTTTAGGTGTATAAACTTTCTTGGAGAGAGAGAGAGAGAGAGAGAGAGAGAGAGAGAGAGAGAGAGAGAACCTGGTGGAGCATAACCATTTGTCCCTCCAAGTCCCACTGAGGTCATCGGATTAGTTACAGTATCAAGGAATTTTGCCAATCCAAAGTCGCCAATATGTGCGACCATCTTAGCATCTAAGAGGATATTGCTCGGTTTTAGATCACAATGAACGATGGGGATGTGGCACTGATGATGAAGATAATCTAGTGCAAAAGCAACATCAATAGCAATATTTATCCTCCGAATGAGATTCAACTTTTTTGGAAGCTCATTCCCATGAGATGATGTTGCGCGTGGGTGTAGCCACTGTTTCAAGCTTCCATTGTCCATGAATTCATAGACTAAAGCCTTAAAATAATTTCCTTGACGATCACCATAAGAGCAAACTCTTAGTATTTTCAAAATATTTCGATGTCTGATGTTCTTTGACACCTCGCACTCGACTATAAAGCTCTTCGGAGCACCCCGACGGAATAAATGAATCACCTTCACAGCAACAACCATTTTATTGTCCTCGAGTATCCCCCTATAAACAGAACTAAAGCTTCCACCACCGATCAAATTCGTTGAAGAAAAACCTCCAGTTGCTTTTAAGATTGTTTCATAAGATATTTTCAGACGCGAATCATCCATGAAACTTGGAACCGAACCATCCATGAAACTTGAAATCGGTTTATTTCCTTTCTTCTTCACCCAACAAAGATATATAGAAGCTGCATTTAGAGCCATCCCAAGAACTCCGGAAATAACAAAAGTGAAAAATATCATTAAATTGATCTTTCCGCTCTTGGTGATTTTGAAAATGCAGTTGGGGAGGTGAAATTCTGGCAATCCACCGCAGAGTTCATTGTTCCCAACAATAGAAGTAATGGTAGCATTCTTAAAGACTCCTTCACGTGGTAGCATTCCTTCAAACTTATTGTACGACAAATTCAGAAGTTTTAAGGAACGAAATACCGCTAAGAATTCTGGAATCTGACCCGACAAATTGTTGTGTGAAAAATCTAGTTCTTCAATGCCCCCTAGCAATCTGATTGATGGTGGAATCGACCCGTGGAAGAAGTTGCCCCCCATCCTCAGTGATGTCAATGCAATGCAATCACCTAAACTACTTGGGATTTCACCTACCAGCATATTGTTAGAGATGTCCAACACAGTCAAAGTACTCAAGTTGCCAACTTCCATGGGTAGAACCCCAGTCAGATGGTTACGAGACAAGTCTAGAATGATGGCTAACGACGAGAGACCGATAAGTTTTGGGGATATGGCACCACTAAGATTGTTATTAGACAGATCAAGCAGAGCAAGAGACCGGCAGTTTGATAAGTGTGAAGGAATTTTCCCATGAAAGTTGTTCCCACCAATATATAGTTCAATTAGCCTGGTTAGATTTCCTAAAAAAGATGGGATTATCCCTCTCAGATTATTATCACTGAACTGCAGCATCCTTAGATTTTGTAGATTTGCAAAATTTGAGGGGATAACACCTGAAAGCTGGTTGAGATTCATAAACAATACTTCCAAGTTGACAATATTCCCGATTTCTTCTGGAATCTCACCATATATTTGATTCATGGCTGCAGAAAATGTTTTGAGAGTGGTGGATAAATTACCTAGGCATTTAGGTAACACCCCACCAAACTTGTTCTCGTCGATACTCACGTACTCTAATTTGGTGCTGTTAGTTAACGAGCAAAAGAAGCTCAAGTCTTCAGGTTTTCCACTTCCAAGATGATTACCAAAGATTTCAAAGCGACCAAGCTTATACAAATTTTCCAAAGAAGGTACTTTCCCGGAAAATTTGTTACTTCCAATTTGAAGCACATCTAGCTTTGTGCAATTCGATATCAAAGAAGGAATCAGCCCCTCAAGTTGGTTCTTTGTAACACTAAAAAATTCAAGATTCAGGAGTTTGAGGCCTATACCTGTTGGAAGAGTCCCCTGTATCCGGTTGTCTGTAACATCAAACAAAATTAGTGAAGAGAGATTGAGTAAGGAAGATGGAATTGTACTCGACAATCCGTTAAATCCAACGCCAATGAATTGCAAGTTTGTCAGCTGGCCTAGAACTTGGGGAATGCTCCCGCCCAAGTTGTTCCAGGTTAAATAAAGGATCCCCAGTGAAGATAAGTTCCCAATGGAGGAAGGCACACTCCCGGTTAGGTTGTTAGCATACAAATTCAACCGCCATAGCTTCAGCAATGAGCCGAGCTCTACTGGAATTTCTCCAGTTAGTTGGTTGTTCCCAAGGGAGAGAACGACCAAGTCCAAGCAACCCGATATGTTACTGGGAATTTCGCCAACCAATGAATTGTAGTGCAATCCTAGAATACGTAGGCGGCGCAACTGACCAACTTGTGGAGGAATTTCATGATCAAAACTATTGTTTTGGAGCAGCATTTCCCTTACGAAACTGAGGTTTCCGATATAAGGAGAGATTGATCCAGAGAGTCCTTGGGATGACAAGTCCAAGACAGTGACCCTCCGGTGCCTCCGGCCACACGTAACGCCATACCATTGGCAAAACCCAATGCTTTTGTTCCATGAGTTGAGCGCACCGAAAGGATCTCCAGTTATGCTGGCCTTAAACTGGAGAAGCGCGAGTCTATCTGTTTCATTGGTGGTGGAGGAGACTTGGTTAAAACAAAGTGCAAGAGAAATACAAAGAAGCAAATGGCATGATTGAAACTCTGGAAAACCAATGCCCACGAGTTTCATGACTCAAAGCTCAAGGAAGCGGGTAGAGACGAAAGCAAGGCAGGAAGAAGCAAGAGGCAGCATCAGGGCCAATGGAAACTGTGAAGAGATTTACAAGAACGTGTCCATTATTGAGGACAGCTTTTCGAAGCGCTTTTCTTTTTCTTTTTGTAGCGCTTTTCTTCTTTTTGAAGCTCTTTTCTGCTTCTAGAGAAGATTTTGTCTGGCCATCTGCGGGGTAGTGGGGGGCAGAATGTGAATGGAGGAAGGGAATGTTGAAAACTCGCTTGGGAGACCTGTGGCTGCGATTGGCGTGGGTTTAGGAGTGAGAAAGGGACTGAGTTTGAGGGCCATTTTCTTTTTACTCAAATGTGATGAGTCAGCTTTTGGCTTGGCTTGGTTTTCTCTTTGAAATCTCAACGTACTTCATCCATGCTGCCTTTAGGGAAAAAACGTAGTAATTATAGTCCATGATTTTTGTCTATTTAATATTTTTTTAACAATAATTGGTTTTTCGGAGCAAAAAAAAAATGGTTTTCATAGACTGTTTGAAAGGAAAAATTTGCGGTTATGGTCCGTGGATATATGTTATTATAGAATAATTTCGCTAATTTTTGGGAGCAAAATGTTGCTCTCTTGGGGCATGGCATTCATACAATTTTCTCTCTCTCTCTCTCTGATGCAGATGTGGTTCCCAGTTGCTTTAATCCTCAACCATTAATATCAATAGATTAAGGGAAAATGTACATAGAGATACACAAACTTGATTTAATTGAAAGTTATAGTGCTCATATGTAATCTACGATATTCTTTGAAAGATGACTTTACTCCAAGGACTCTAACCCCGGAAAGACACTACTCCATAGCATCAACGATATTAGATCTAAATGTAAAAATTAAAATCTAATTGGATGTTAAATTAAGAAATATGTCTGTCCATGTTGTCCATATAGGAAATTCTATTAACCTCTGGGATCTTCACTAAGATCAACATCGACTTGTTCTTTCCAAACTGCTCTCCATTGGACATCACCCATCTATTATTAATTTGGCCAAAATAGGTAGCATGTGGGAAAGTCAAAATGAATCGATAGACAACTGCAAAATTATGACATTGTAAAATGTGTCAATCTTAATTATCAATTTTGTTTTTCACTTGCTGAAATGAGCAAATCCCCATTACATTTAGAAAAAAAAAGAACTCAAGAACAGAAACTACATACATCAACCTTAATCTTCTCTTTCATCACAATCCATGGAAAAAGTAACAAAAAATCAGTTATTTAACAATCACAAATACCAAAAAAATGTATTGCACACTTATTAGTTATGTGGATCTCCAAACGTTGAAAATCTGGTTCCGTGCACATTAGAGGGTTTCAAAAGCACTTAAAAAACCTTCAATAAAATTATTTTATTTATTGAATCACAGGAAATTGAAGAAGAGAACCAAATCCTTTATCTCCTTTGGGGCATTTTGATGGTGTTCTAGTAGGAGACACTCTTAACGAATAAGGACGAGAAGAAAGAAAATAGAGGACTTAGATAATTTGTGCGGTGGTGTGGTGTGGTGTGCCTATCTCTGACTCTGACCACGGAAAAGCTGCGACTAGGCAAATAATAGAAGTCCCAAGCATGCACTTTCTTTTGCCCTTCCGGTGTCCTGTGATTTTGATTTACAGGTCGATTACCCAGTACACACCGCCAAGAGAGACAAAAACAATTGACACTACAAGAGAGAGACAGAGACAGAGACAGATACAGAGACAGAGCCATGTTCATGTGTCATACTTGGACATGTGTGAATAAGGTATTATTTACATGGGAAAACGGAAAAAAAGAACACTAACAAAGCCCTAGAAGGCTGTGTAAGAACTAGATAAGAAACATACAATGAACTAGCTGAACACGGAAGCATGGTTTTAACGCCAGATTCTACAAGTACTTACTTTTTTTAAGACGTTACTATGGTAATGGCACCGGTTCCCTGTTGACCAGAAATGACCTTGGCCGTGGCCAACGACTGGCTATAGGCGAGCTTGAACCTCTCCACAAGCCGGCGAGGCTTCAGGTCGTTAGAGCCTCACCCAGCTCACCGGATTTGGCAAGGCTCGAGCTTGACCTTGCTGGATCAAGCAAGGCGGAGCCTTGCCACAGGCCTGCAAGGCTCGAGCTCGCCGAAATCTAGCGAGCTCGAGCCTCATCGGCCTATGACGAGGCTCCAGCTCGCTTGTGGCCGGTCGCCGGCCATCACTAAGGCAGGCAACCAGCCGAGGAAGAACCAAAAAGAAAAAGAAAAGAAAAGAATTAAAAAAATTAAAAATTTTGAATTTTTTGGTAATTTTCCTCAGAAAATCAAATCAGATACCAAATGGCGAAAAATATTTTCTAGTTCATTTTTAGGTTTCAACCAATCTCCGAAAAATATTATCATTTTCCTAAAAAATGACTTTCTGGATCAGAAACGTCACATTTTTTGCTAAATGAGCGGAGCTTAAAAACAAGATTATTGTACTTGTGAACTATGTTGATCCATTCTTGAAAGAAGCACTTGAGACTGCAAGGAGTAAGAAATAAGGATTAGAAATTCTTCAATCGTGCCAAATCCTTTTGTCATGCCCTCTCCTCTTGAACGTGGGAGTCAAGTGCTTCTATAGGTGTAGAGTTTTCTTGTAGGTAAGGTTCTCATGATGAACTTCATCCATTATGATGCAAAATTAAGGGCGATTGGTTCCCGATCTGGTCCGATTCCAAGGTAAAACCGAGAACCACACGAAGAGGATCAATTCCCAATTTTGAGAAACGGGGACCAGACCAGTTGGTCCTAGAACCGGGAACTGGACTGGGCCAATGGTCCGGATTGGTCCGGTCTGATTCAATGGAACCGGTCACTATTTTATTTTTATCCCACCATAACGAGAGAGAGTGACAAATGTCAATATAAATCTCAATATATTGACGGAAGCGGCAATAAATGAAGAGTCATTGTAGTGCGGCAATAAAGGGAAAGCGTTGTACGTGAATTTAGTTCACTTTTACTAATTTTTTTGAAGAAATAACAAATAAAAAAAGTACATGTAGTCAGTCCGGTCCGGTTTCCCCTTGGAATCTGGAACCAGACCACCTGGACACCGGTTTCACTTTTAGGAATCGGGAACCGAACCAAACCAAGCAGTCTAGTCCCGACGGTTCCCGGTCCAGGCGGTCCGTTTTGCACACTCCTATCCAAAATTACCCGTATCACCAATTTCACATAGGATGCATTTTGAGAAACAGTTTCCCGTCCAATGGAAGCTACTTCCTTACTTTAAGAAGATAAACCACTCAGATATATTTAAGAAAAATTGGCTTAATTAATTGAATGAACTTTTTTTTTTAATAATGCAGTAGCAAGAATGTGGAGATCCGACTACTTGGACATCCTGAAACACCTTGCAAACTCCATAAAACGGTTAAGTCCGAGTTTTGGCCTTTGCAGTTGACCCTAACCAAAAGAAATTTGCATGCAATTATGGGATCTGAGCATATGGCCTTGATTGAATGATTTTCATATCACCTCTCTAAAAGAACAACACGGAACAGATGGCTATGATTGAGACGGAATTGGAAGTCGGTTTGTTGCCCCCTTTTCTAAGAAGTTAACCTATCTATTCTTCCCTTTACCAACGGAAAAGCCAGCTATTAGAAACATTGTGCTTCGACGAAATTGCTAACGAATTTCTTGTCGCTGTTTCGTTGATGAAATTTCGCCGAAAAGGCCATTATGATTAGACCAAAGAGGCAACAGTGGTCGTCGGAAATATCCATAATAAATGTTTTTTGTTTGGTTCTGGTTTTGTCGTCGCACATGTTTGAATCTCTCCAACTCTAACCAGAAGTCCGAGTTTTGGCCTTTGCAGGTGACCCTAACCAAAAGAAATTTGCATGCAATTATGGGATCTGAGCATATGGCCTTGATTGAATGATTTTTCATATCACCTCTCTAAAAGAACAACACGGAACAGATGGCTATGATTGAGACGTAATTGGAAGTCGGTTTGTTGCCCCCTTTTCTAAGAAGTTAACCTATCTTTTCTGCCCTTTACCAACGGAAAAAGCCAGCTATTAGAAACATTGTGCTTCGACGAAATTGCTAACGAATTTCTTGTCGCTGTTTCATTGATGAAATTTCGCCGAAAAGGTCATTATGATTAGACCAAAGAGGCAACAGTGGTCGTCGGAAATATCCATAATAAATGTTTTTTGTTTGGTTCTGGTTTGTCGTAGCACATGTTTGAATCTCTCTGACTCTTATCACCTGCAACACCATAACGTAAAAATAAATTTTCACAATCAATTTAGGAACCGAGCTGGGACCGATAGGATTTGGGAAAATCATAGCTAAGTATTAGCGCCACCTCGCAAGAGGCATATCTGGGCTCTCTTAGTAATCCGTTAATCACTTCGAGGAACACCCTCAATTTGCCTTGGGAGGGTTGCCACCCTATCTTCCGATGTCACTCACCTTTCTCAGCTGAAGCAACTCAAGCTCCGGTGCCCTAATTTGCAATGCCTACCTAGGCTTCCAACAAATTTGTCATACCTATGTATCGAGCTATGCAGGCGAATAAAAATAACGAATGATCTTTCGAAGTGGAAAGCTTTATCAGATTTGGAATTTTGTGGTTGTGACGAGCTAACGGAGATTCAAGGCCTTGAAGGTTTTAAGAACATGAGAACATTACTGCTCTCAACAATTCCATCATTGGCGAAGTTGCCAGATCTGAGTAACTTGAAGAAGCTCTTTTTCTGTTTATTTTTGCTAATGGTCTTCGTTTCCCTTTCACCTCCTTTTCTGTAGCCATGTTGATAAAGAGTCTTTGACTCTTTAGGTTGAGTGAGTGTGAACATGGGGTAGGGACCATAAGCGATGGCGCATTGCATTTGCCTTGCGAGAAAACTTAATGAGACAACAGTTAGTGGTAAGATAAGAAATTTACAAAAGCAAGAAATAAATGCAAAAGAACGATCATTCGCATGCTTAATTCTGAGTCCAATGGTTTAGCAGAGAATCCCGATCTTGACCTTTATCCTCCTAACTTGCAAGCCCAGATAGACGAAGCTAATGGATGGATATACGACTGCATAAACAGTGGTGTTTATAATTGTGGGTTTGCTAAACAGCAGGCGCCTTACGAAGAGGTACTATCTTCACTACTGAATCGTCACTTGTTATATGTGAAAAATAGCAATTTCTATATTTTTTTATTATTCTCATTATAGCGGTAGAACATCCCTCTTGTTTTACGTTGACAACATATAGACTAGCAAATGACATGGTGGACATACTTCCCCTCCTCTTCTGATGACAGATATAGGAATGTCAAATATGTTCTTTGACAGAGTGATAATGTGGAAATGAATAAGGTGAAAAACAACTTGCCGATGGTAATTCTCTGACGGCTAATTGAAAAATGTTGGTAGTAAACGTTGCATCAGACTGAGGTTTCAACCTCTCTGACCTAATTATAGAATAGAGTCACAGATGGTCTGTTCAATTTTTCTGGGACCCAAACAAGGCTGCCCCCATGTTTTTCACTCTAGTTGGGGACGTATCAAGCAAAATTCCATGCTAATCCAGATAGGCTGCAAAGATTGATTTTCAGAACGGGTTCGCGTATCTAACTAATCCATGTTACAATGATCTTATCAACTTTTGCTGATAACAAAATGATCCTATGCACCTGAGACATTGTGGATGTGTTGTATAGATCAGTTTTTCTTGCTTAGACGCATATTTGGGGCTTAAAGTCAAGCTTGCAGAAGATCAACTTACCTCTCTGGGGGACCACATGGATGATCAAGATTCTTTTACATGATAAGGAAGTAATGCTTAGTTGATAGAGCACCAAGGGTGGTAACCTATAAACAATCTCTTGCGAGAGAGGGATTCGAACACCTCTCGGACATTGAAAAGGTCTTGGCTTGGGTAGTACGACCACTAAACCAGAAGTTCAAGGAAAAAAATCAAGCATCCTAATCATTACAAAAGAAACATCATCCGAGAATCTGCCAGAGTTTCCAAGACTGATAGGCCTCCACAAATAATTCGTTTCGATGGCAAATTGATTCAAACTCAGTGAAATTGGGTCCCTTGGGTCTTTTCTTGGGTCTTTACCGTCTCTAAACTTGATACACTTTCTTTCTTGGACTTTTTGGATCTTTTCCCTCGTAATTTCGTTTTCTAACCAAAAAATGGAATATTTTAAGGGCCCATCTTAAAGTAAGTTCTATATGTGGGCCGCCCTCGCTGCACTATAGTGAAGGTTTATTTTTTATAAAAAAAAAAGAAAAAAGAAAAAAGAAAAAAGAAAAAAAGGTTCTAGTTGATTCCATTCCACTTTTGCAAAGCTGTAGAGAAGGGGAAATTACGGAACGAAGTCCTACACCTACTCCACTGGTGCCAATTCAGTCTTAAACATTTTAATTTGGTCAATTTAATCTTAAATTTTTTTATGATTTGCCAATTTAGTCCTTCCGGCCGTATTGATAAAGCGTGTTGTCATCCTTTCCCCTTCACAAGCGTGTTGTCTTCCTTTCCCCTTCACCTCCTTTTGTTAGCCGTGTTGATAACGCGTGAGTGTGAACAAGGGTGTGGACCATAAGCGATGACGCATTGCGTTTGCCCTACGACAAAACTTATGGAGTCAACATTTAGTGGTGAGATAGGAAATTTACAAAAGCAAGAAAGAAATGCGAAAGAACTGCTTTCTCGTGTGAAAGCAAGAAAGGGGCATCATTTCCCACATTTCCTTGTCGGGTCCACATAAGAAAGGGATGTTCCTCTGTTCTTTCTCCATTTGATGTATGACGAGGATAAGTGCAGACAACACTCGAGAACCATTTCTTCACTCAAGACCCATTTCTTCATTGCTCCTTGTCTTGCTGCCTCCATCTTGTTCAGGCTCGCCACTGTCAAATTCTGTCCTTCAATCTCACCACTACTTCTGGTAATTTCGCTCTACATGCATCGGTTTATTGTTTTATAAAGTGTAAGATTAGAGATTAATAGTAATCGGTGATTGATTCTCGCTATCTCTGATGTAGTTCAACGCATTAAATCTTGATTTACTTCGAGCGGGATTAGTTGATTTCATTTTGCTTGATTCTTGTTTTTAGCTGGGGGTACATAAGCAATTCAAGAAAAGGAATTATCAGAGCAAAAGTAAAGAGACGGGAGAAGCACGGCCTTAAAACTTAAGTACACGAGAGAGAAACATAGGAGAGGACAGAACAACATTTAATTTGATTTTGACGCACACATTCTCCTGTATGCCAGCTACAGCTTTTATATGCATCACATATCAACATCCACAACTACTTGATAACTTTTGACTGTGTTTTTTCATGTTTGGATTGGATGCTATGAAGAGAATGGAAAAGTTTTTGATGATCGCTAGGGAAAAGAAAAGAAGAGAATATATCAAAGTCTAACATCTTCTTTAGAAGGGGATACATAAGTCAGGGATTCAAATCTTGAAGTTTAGGTACTGTTGGAAAAAGTGAAGTGTTTTTGTAGGGGACCCACAGGGTCCAATCTCTTAGTTAGCCAAAAAACAAAAGGAAAGTCCAGCAAAATATAAAAATAGGTAAACTTCACTAATGATTGGTGTAATTCACTACTGTTAGCAATTAAGTGATACTTCATTTCACTCGTCAATGCACTATAATTTTTTTAACTTTATTTTTTTTGCAATTGATAGCTTTAACCAAAAGCCGACCAATTTTCCGACAAGTACTAACATGGCGGCCACGGTTTAGCAGCCATCGGTAGATTTCACTCCACTAAAAATGACTACAAATTCGTTGAATATAACACCTTTGATTGCGAAACTTTCACATTATATTCGGTGGTAAATTTCTAGAATGTCAAATATACATGGATGAAACAAAAGAAAGAGGCTAGGATAGCCGCGAAAGAGTAATTTTGCAAAAGACAATCTCTCGTGGCATAACAAACTAATAGGTCAAGAAGAATTAGAATCATCTCCAATGCAAGACATTTGACCTAGAATTTAAGAAACACGTTAGCCGCAAATGGTAAACTCTACATAGATGTAGATAAGATTGACATTCATTATCTTCCAAGAAAAGTTCCATGTAGATCTGCTTGAGCAACAACAATAAAAAAAAAGTGATTTGTGAACCACAACTTATATTGAGCATTCTTTTCAGTTTCCTTCTGTTGTAAAATAAGTCGGATCGCAATTGATTGCAACGGAATTATAATTGTCAGAATCGCGCAAGATGTCGCCGTATATTCTCTTTGCAGAAAAACGTAAATAGCACACCAAAAAAAGAATGGTACACTACAAGTTTTTACGTGGAAAACCCAATATGGAAAAAACCATGGGACACTGATCTAGGAACTGCTCCACTATAATCAAAGGATTACAATTAACACTCTAACGGTGTTTCTCTCACAATAAATCCTCACAATTGTCACAAAACACATCCTCACTTGATAAACTCTCAAGATCTCTTGTGTTTACACACATTGCTGAAGACTCTTGTGATTTCTCTAGAGTATTTTCCGGTGCACATAGAAACCACCACCTAAGCCCTTCTGTTTATAGCGATAGATCTCCACCCAAGTTAAGAATCCTCCCTGATTGATTGAAAATCACCTTCCAATTGGAAATCCCCCGATTGATTGGAATTCTTCTAATTAGGCAATCACTAGAATTGATTCCATCTTGGTATTCTTTCTAAATAAGATATCTTATTTATATTTCTTCTTTGTCAGTGTCCTACCATAATAGGACTTGTTCCTATTAGGTATTCTTGATGAACAATCTTAGGGATATTTCAAATCGATTCCTGAACATGTTGGGCTACTCCCAACACCTTCCTATAGATTTCAAACGGATCTAACTTTCGCCGCTACAAGGTCTAAAGCTTTGCCATGAAAGAGCATTTGCATTTGTGGGCGGGGTTTCGTTATAATTACTTAAAGTAGATCTCTGCATTTGCTTATGATTGAAATCAGTTATCTCTTCATTTGCTTCTAATAGAAATTGGCCTCATCATTATGCACGTGGTCATCATTTTCGGGTAGCATTTCAAATCCTTGTTGCATAGACAATTTGCACTAATCTTTGTGGTGGAACTTCACATTGACAGTAGTTGCTACTATTTTTCTGTCTTTTGTACTAGATGCAGGCTTATAAGGAGACCGTGTATAGAGAACAAATAAACATGTTGAATGCCTCTTCTAATGATCAGGAACTAGAGAAGTTATCAGGATATGATTATGAAGTATTTTTGAGCTTCAGAGGACCAGATACCCGTAATGACATTACTGATTACCTTCATACTAGCATGATTGACGCTAGAATTCTGGCATATAAAGATGATGAAGAGATCCGAATTGGGGAAGAGATCGGTGGCCAGCTTCTCCAAGCAATTGAGCAGTCAAAGATCTTGATACCAATCTTTTCCAAAGGATATGCAGACAGTACATGGTGCCTTAGGGAGTTGGTCAAGATGGTGGAGAGCAAGAACACAAGGGGACATAAGATCATGCCCATTTTCTATGATGTCGCACCATCCGAGGTAAAATACCAGACTGGGTACTACGGCAATGCCATTATTTCTCATGTAAACAGGAAGCGGTTCAATGATGAGACTATCGACAATTGGAAGGCTGCTCTCAATGAGGTTGGAGCACTGAAGGGATGGGACTTCCAAAGTATGCCAAACAGGTATTTAGTTATATCATATATGGTCTAGTTGTCCCAGATGCATTTCTTTTTCAGCTAAACTTAATGTCTTGATGCTTTTTCCTCCAATTATTTGTCAGAGGCAAAGGTGAATTTGTAAAAGAAGTAGTCAATAATGTTTTGACTGAGTTGAAAACGGCCTACTTGGAAGTATCCGATTGCTTAGTCGAAGTAGACAATCATGTGGATGAAATCATGAGGATGATACGTACACACGACCATGAAACAAAGATTGTTGGAATTCATGGTATCGGTGGCATGGGAAAGACAACTCTTGCCCAAATAGTGTACAATCAGCTTTCTAATGATTTTTCTAATTGTTGCTTCCTTTCTAACATTCGAGATACAGAGATTACGCTCTTGCAGAATCAGCTCATATCGAATATTCTGAAAATAAGATGGCCTGATATCAACAATATCATGGAAGGAAAAAAGGTGATCAAGGAAAGGTTATACTCTAAAATGGTGCTTCTTCTGCTTGATGATGTTGACGAAGCAAGTCAACTTGATGCGCTCGTGCAGAAGCGTGAGTGGTTTGGCAAGGGAAGCAAGATTATCATTACAACTAGAGATCGGGGAATTCTTAATGTGCCTACACTTGTTGATTGGACTTACGAACTTACTAGCATGGATTTTGATCATTCTCTTCAACTTTTTAGCAAACATGCTTTTAGAAGAGATTATCCTATAGAGGAACACATCTTTCACTCCGAAAGAGCAGTAAATATCTGTGGCGGTCTTCCTTTAGCTCTTGAGGTTATAGGTTCTCTTTTATATGGAAAAAGCATAGAGGAGTGGGACGCCACTTTAAAGGAGCTAGAAGAATTTCCTCATGAGAATGTTCAAAGGAAGTTGATGATCAGCATTAAGGCTTTAAATGAAGACCAAAGAAAGATATTTCTTGATGTTGCTTGTTTTTTCATTGGGATTGATAAAAGAATTGTGATTTACATGTGGGAAAGCTGTAAATTTCTTCCTCACCAATCTCTTAACACCCTCCAGCAAAGATCTTTGATAAAGATTAGAGAAGATAACCGACTATGGATGCATGATTGGTTAAGAGATATTGGAAGAAATCTTATACTTCAAGGAAGTGATAAGAAACCAGAGAAGCAACAATGGGTGTGGACTCACGCGCAAGCATTGGAGATTTTGGAGAAAATGCAGGTAAAATTGTACATCTTCATTCCTTTTTAAGGAGATTGGTCACAACATATTCATTTTGATTTCATTTCTATCAGAGTTTATTTATTTCCTGTGCACTTACATAAGGGGTTTATCAATTGTTTTCAACATTAGGAGAGTTGTTTTCCCCTTGAAGAAGATCAAAGCGGTAAATCATGGTTTTTTCTAACTTTCATTTTCTATTTCTATTTTGGCAGATAGGAGTTGATGTTCATGGAATTGGAAGTATCGAAGCAATATGTCTAAAGCTTGATGAAATATCTCAATACTCTTTGATAAAAGAATGCCTAGCAAGTTTTTCAAATCTAAGGTTCCTTCAAGTGGATAGCAAAGACTTCATCGGAAGCACAAAGTCTATCTTTACTCAAGTGGGTGGTTTCCTATGTTACCAGTGCTCAAATTTTGTTCAAACCACATTTGGCCCACGTATCCTTCCTGAGTTGAGATGGCTTTCATGGAATTACTTTCCTATGGTTTTTAAGCTGACCAATTTCTCCATGAGGAAGCTACTAATCCTTGATATGTCAATGAGTAAAATCACGGAAAAATGGGATGGATGGAGCCACATCAAGGTATGATTTCAGATAAAATCAACGTGAGTTGTTTTGTCGTATGTAATCATCAATTTTTTTTTTTAAAACCAATATGTTGTCTTCTTTTCAGTTGGCTAAGAATTTGAAGGTCCTAAATCTGACGAAATGCATGAAGTTGCATAAAACCCCAGACTTGTCTTTTCATGTGAATTTAGAGCGACTGATTCTTGAAAGTTGTGAGAGTTTGGCTCAAATTGATCCATCGATTAGTCAGCTTAAGAAGTTAGTCTTCTTAAACTTGAAGAATTGTAATAATCTCCGAGAGCTACCAAATGAGATGGGGGAATTGGAATCTTTGAGGGAACTTCTTCTTGACTCTACAGCTATAGAAGAGATTCCCGAATGGAGAAGGATGAAAAAACTGGAAATTCTCAGTTTGGACAAGTGTACACTACTGAATAAGTTCAGTTTCGTTGGGTGCGCAGCAGCTGCAGCGAACCTTTCATTAGTGGATTGCCACTTTACTCAACGGCCTAACTTGATAGAAAATTTCAATTCACTGATTCAGTTGAATCTGTTGGGTTCGATTATACGGGAGTTACCTGATGTGATTGGGAACATGAAGAATTTGAAAGTTCTAAAGATGAGATGCCCCTTGAGAAAACTACCTAGTACCATTGGAATGTTGGAGAAGCTCGAAGAGCTAGAGGCATGGGGTACTTTTGCAGAAATTCCCGATAATATTGGGAATCTACGATTTCTAAAAATTCTGGTATTGGGCAGCCATAGAATATCGGCGGTGCCTCAGCTTCCAGAAAGTCTGATCAATCTATGTTGTAAAACAACCTCGATGGAGACTTTGCCGAACTTCTCGAACCTATTAAATTTGAGAAATTTGAGGTTGACTTTGTGGTTTAATCTCGAGGGTCCTTCTAAACTTGAAGCAGCTCCAAGTGCTTGGTGGATTGGAACATTACGGATGCTCGAGTTCTTGAAGTTGTCTTCTCCTTGTATCACCACCCTATCTTCCGATCTTGTTCTCCTTTCTCAACTGAAGAAACTCAAGCTCCAGTGTTGTAATTTGCAATGCCTACCTAGGCTTCCAGCAAATTTGTCATACTTAGGTATCAAGTCTTGCCGGAGAATGAAAACAACGAATGATCTTTCAAATTTGAAAGCGTTATCAGATTTAGTCATTGTTCGTTGTGACGAGCTAATAGAGATTCGAGGCCTCGAAGGTTTGGAGAACCTGAAAACATTAGAGCTCGTGGAACTTTCATCATTGGCAAAGTTGCCTCATCTGACTAACTTGAATAAGCTTAAGAAAATTTATTTAAATGATTGTACTAAGCTGTTTGAGATTCAAGGTGTTACGGAATCATTGGAGATACTTCACATTGTGAACTGTTCAAATCTGCAAAAGTATCCTGATTTATCAAGCTTCAAGAATCTCAAAGTTTGGAGTACTGAAACCAAGGAATCAACATCAGATCTTATTTTCCGAGAACTGACCCATGTCGACACAGGAATGTAAAAAGTTATTCTTTTGTGTTGAAATAAGAAAGGAGTTCGTCTTTTTGTTCACCACATGAATACATGTGTAGTTTTACTAACCAGGGACTAAATGACCATGATTTGCCACGGTTTAGCATCTTGTGGGGGCTTTTGTAGTTATAATAGTAGACTGAAAAAGACAAGGGAGGGGCTACCAGCGGCTAGCAGGTTTCTCTGGAATTACAAAAAGGATATCATACTTGTCATGAAATGTTTGATTTGAATCATAATTACTCCGTACAACCGTTGAACCTTGGTTCAACGGTGGCAAATCTATTATCCCAATCGGGAAGCGTCTCCACATGAGATATGCCATAACTAGGCAATACAACATGAAAGTACAACAAAAAAAGAACATGGAAGTACAATAAAAGTGAGACCAAAGGGGGTTTTGTGGTTATGATAGTAACTTAGTCCTCCACCCGAGGCAAATTTGACTGAAGGAAAAAACAAGGAGAAGTTAATCCTTCATCTTAAGCAAGTTTGATTGAAAATTCAAATAATTCAAGAAAATTTTTATCATTCGAAGAAGCACTCGATCAATTTCAGCTGATTTTGAACTGCAAGCAAGGTAAAAGCATTCAAGGATTATTTGCAAGATAATCGGGAAAATGACAAAGCTTGCCAAAAACCTGGCTTGCAGATTGCCTATTCTCATAAGGGAGCCTCTTGCACATATCCTGGTAGAAAGAAAACACACTTTAGGATAGCCTTCCAAACAAATAAGAAGAAAATGGAAATTTCTTCGTAATGGAGAATTTCCATAAAAAAACAAAAAAGATAGACGCTTTGTTTGTGTATGCAAAAGCCACTTTGCAAACAAGGTTTTACAATCTATCCAGGTCATTGTACTTTCACATCGCCGTACATCTTATTTGGACAGTGTTATTTTTCTAAAATCACCAACTTGTGGTGGACACTCTATGTGGGGCTGAGAGTTTATTGAATAATATAATCTTCGTACGTGCTGAGCCTGAATACTTTAGATTGCATGATAGGAAGCAGAGTTCTTGATTACCGTGGCAAATCAGAGTCATTTAGCCTGTGGTTAAGAAGAGAACGAGGGGCCAAAAAAGAAAGACGAACTCCCTTCTAATGTCAACACAAAAAGGACCTTCTTACGTTCTTGTATTGACATGGAACAATTTTTCGATCTCATCGATCAAAATTACTCATCCGAATGATCAAAGAAGAAAATAAAGTTACGTCAAATTACTTCTTTTAATCTTGTTAAAGCACGATTTTATCCATATTGAGTTACAGCAATTAAAAGATTCTCATTCATTTTGTTGGTATGTATTGCGGATTTATTTTTCGGTAACCAAAATCGCATTACAATGCCAGAGAGACATGGGCCTTAATACATATATAATTCGAAATACTCAAAAGAAGAATGTGAACATTACAAAAAGGAGGGCAAAAGTGTTAGAAAAGTTCTAAACCTATTGCATTGATGCTAATTTAGTTCTAATTTTGATGCCAATTGTCGCGACCGACCTCCCGCTTTTTTTTTTTTATCATGCAAAAAGGGGGGGCTCGCCTGGCATGCGCTAAGTCTAGGTTCGGGACTTAACTCGGGCTCTCCTAAGTTCATATCATATCGCGACTTAGGGTTTAAGTGTTTAACATGCAAGTGATTTATATCAAGGAGTCGCCACTAATCGATTTGGGGTGGGTTGATTAGAAACCCAAATAAGGTGATGGGAAAATCACCCTATTCCTACGAACTAGAGACTAACTGAGTTCAGGGACTTGGTTACACTAGTTGGACAACTAATGCCCTTTCGGTACTTTTTTACCTTGTTCATTTCTGAAAACATTTGTCAGGCAATTTAGATTGATTTTAGGACCTTTCTCCTAACATGTGAGGTGATCAAGCGAATGCATAATCATAAATGATCAACACTCAAAATAGATATGCAGCCTTAGGTTCTAACCCTAACTAAGTCAGATGACATTCAAAACATAACAGTTCATGCAATTATGTTTTAATTAAAAACATGCATAATAATAACAAAACAGTAATAAAAAATAACATGCAAAATACTACTGCATAACCCTATAGTCTTATCAAATTTAAACATGGCAATTTATGCAATTATAACAACATTCATAATAATACAACAATAAATTAAAACAATCGGATGTATCACATAATTTAAAAAAAAATTTAAAAATTAAATAAAATAAAACAAAAAAATATAAATAAAAAGTAAATACGGAAAGAGAAAAAGAAAGAAAAAAATTATTTAGCAAAAAATTAATTTTTTTAAAAAAAATTTTAATTAATTTTTTTTTAAAAATAAAATAAATAAAAAACGAGTCGGATCGCGGATTCGGTCGGTCGGATCCGACCCGGGTCAATGGATCCGACCCACAGCGTTGACCCGGGTCGGGTCAATTGATCCGGATTGGGTCGGAACCGACCCGGGTCAACGGATCCGACCCAGGGCATTGACCCGGGTCGGATCAGCTGATCCGGGTTGGGTCGAACCCGCGTGCATAGACACGTGGGGGGCGCCGGCGGAGCCAAAATTGGCCTTCCACCGGCCGACCCAGACTGGCACCGACCGAAGATCGGCCTCTGAAGATCGTCCCCGAGCTTCCTCCGCCGTCCACTTGCCGTACGACGTCCCGCTCGCCGGCCGGCGGCCAAAAAACAAACCATTTTCCTTGAGGCATTTCATCGAGCAGGTAGGAGGCACAACCAAAATCGAGGGATCTCGACCTCCTCCGACGACCCGGTCAACTCCAGGGGCTATGGTTTGCCTTCGACGGTGAGTGGGGACCGGGAACGACGACGGTATAGGCCAGGATTCGCGCGAAACGACCGGCGCGAGTCCCGGCCAAATCGGACACCAAAACAGGGGCAAACAAGGCAGAATAGGGAACTGGGGAGACTCACCGGTCGGCGACACTTCTAGGGGGGCTTCGGGCTGGTCAGGGGACGTCGACGACGCTGCTGGTTCTCCTTCTTGCCCCGGTAAACTCTCAGTTTGCTTTCTCTCTCTCTGTTCTCTCTCCAATGGCCGACCCCTTCTCTATCTCTCTCTCTGGTTTTTATAGCCGACGACGACGCGTCTCACCTGCTCCATATGCACGTTGACGATGGCCTGCACCAGCCTACTCTGGCCCGTGACTTTCGTGGCCATTTAGGCCGATGCAGGGGGGCTCTGACATCCGAAAAACATGGGGGAGAAGGAGAGAGAGATGGCCGGGAAATGGGGAAGGAGGGGACTGGCCATCAATGCCAATCCCCTTAGCGTGCTTCGTCGGCCATCCTCTGACCTGATGGGGATAGCGCGGCCGTGCTCGTCCGTTCGTCGCACTGCGGCCAGAATAGGGGCGAACAGGGGAAGGAGAGCGACAGGCCGGCGGGGGGAAGAAGGAAGAAGGAAGAAGGAAGGGAGCTGGGCCGGGCTAGGCCCAGCTTGCGCGGGGGGAAGAAAAGGAAGAAAAAAAAGAAAAGGGCCGGGCCGCACGGGGGAAGAAAAGAAAAGGGGCTGGGCCGTGCGGGGGGAAAGTAAAAAGAAAAGGGCCGGGTCGACCCGACCCCGACCCGGCCCAACTCGATTTTTTTTTTTGAATTTTTTTTTTAAATTTAATTTTTTTTTATTTTTTTATTAAAAAAACACTCTAATAGACCCTATTAATATAAATGTGTCTAATTTCTATATGCAATGCATTTAAATAGAAATATTTTTTTTTAGGAATTAAAGAAAATTAACTCCTAAATTTTGTGCAATTAATTTTGGGCAAATTAAAATAGGTGTCAATAGCTGCCCTTCTTTGAAGGTGTACTCGCAGAGGTTGAGCTCATAGTGATTACATTCAAAGATAAAATGACACCTAAATTTGGCCCATGCATGCTCAATGAATGCTATTTTTGGCGAGACCATGAGTCCCATTTTTTATAATGCGATAAGATGATGCATGCTAAAGCAAATAAAAATATACCTGGGGCTACTTACCTTGCCGAAGGGTAAAGTAATTCTAGATAATTGGTATCATATGTCGAGGACTCGAACTTATCTTTGGTCGCCTCGACTAAATTTCATTCGTATAGGACTCGAACCTATCTTCGATCGCCTTGACGAGAGAAATTATTTGTCTAGGACCCGAACCTTTCTTCGGTCGCCTTGACTGGGGGAAATCGCTTGCCTAGGACCCGAACTTATCTTCGGTCGCCTTGACTGGATTTCGTTTGTCTAGGGCCCGAACCTTTCTTCGGTCGCCTTGATTGGGGAAATCATTTGCCTAGGACCCGAACCTATCTTCGGTTGCCTTGACTGGATTTCGTTTGTCTCATACCCGAACCTATCTTCGGTCGCTTTGACTGGGGGTTGTTTTGCCAAAGTACCTGGGGGTCCTCGCCCGAGGATTTGATGGTTTGCCTGGTGGGTCCTCGCCAGCAGGTCTTGGAAAGACTCAAATAATGAGCACCTAGGGGTCCTTGCCCGAGGATTTGATGGTTTGCCTGGTGGGTCCTCGCCAGCAGGTCTTGGAAAGACTCAAACAATGAGTGCCTAGGAGTCTTCGCCCGAGGATCTGTTGGTTTGCCTGGTGGGTCATCGCCAATAGGTCTTGAAAATACTCAAACAATGAGTGTTGACACCTAAACTTTGGCGCATCATTTAGTGGTCAATTGCATAGAAAATTAGGGATTAAATTTTAACCCCTGAACAAAAATATTACAAATCGCATAGCATAAAGTTTAGGTTCATATAGATTAACTGCATTTCGCATCGGATCGGCGGTGGTAAGCGAGCTTAAAATTCATCACGTAAATCGAGCTCGGGCACCGAACGAGACTCGGCTCACTCGGAAAGCATGGGCCGAAAATCACACACAAAATGACTTGATTGTCTTAATTTGAGCTTAAATTAGCCCATTATGCTTAATTAAAGAAAAGCCCAAATTAATTCAGCCCACTTAGAATTAAATTAAAGCCTAAACCTAAGCCCATTAGGACTAGAAAGCCCGACTAATTGACCTAGGTTTAGATTGTAAATATATGTT